CCTCCCTGCCCGCAGTGCGGTCGCTCCCGCACCAGACGTGCGGCACAGCAATGTCCGCGGTGTGGTGCAATTACAAAAAATAGTGCATGTGGGCCCCAGAATGCTGGAGGCATTTGCAGTTATAGATTTGGAACCCCGAGTGTGGCCCCTGGAGACAATATGGCGGCCATGGAGATGCCACACCGCTCTCTGAGGAGCCCCAGGTCTTTGCCTCAGATGCTCGGGAATATGGCGTATGGACCTGGAAGAGATTCCCATCCTTTGATAGGTGCCGGTATTCTTGTCATGTGACCACTGTTTTATGATTGGTACGGTAAACTCCCAGTTATCCGGCACCCCTGGGGATCAGCAGAAGCCACAGAACTGTGGTTTCTGGTTGCTTGAGAGTTAATAGTAACTCTCAAGCAACCCCCATTCACCTGCCGGCTTCTGCAGCCAACAGGTGAATGTAAGCAGCCGGGAGCAATAGGCAGACCATATAGACTATTGGCTATGTGAATAGCCAATAGCAGGCTGGCTAATGCACCTGCCCACTGAGCAGAGGGCTGGTTCACACCATAAACAGTGTGTTCCGGAGCGGTCATCCTCCGGAGCGCGCTGTATCGCATTCTGGCCGGCCTCCTGCGGGAGGGGGCGTGGCTTTTCCGGTCCAGTGCGATCTGCACAAATGCTGCAAGCACTATTTTTGTAGATCGCACTGGAGCAGAACGCAGGCACTAATGTTCCATGCGTTCTGGTGCGGGCGATCGCACTGTGGGCAGGGGGGTGTGGCTGCAGTGCCATTGATTTCCTTGCACCACACCGCCCCTGAACGCAGTGCCCCCCCTCCCCTATCTCTGTGTCCCCCCTCCTATTGTTCAGTGTCCCCTCCTATCACTAATTGCCCCTGAGCAGGCACTAATGTGGGCAGCGGGGGTGGCTGCAGTGCCATTGATTTCATTGCACCGCCCCTGAATGCAGGAAGCCGGCTGGAATGCGATACAGTGCGTTCCAGAGGCTGACCGCTCTGGAACCCACTGTATATGGTGTGGAACGGCTCCAAGTGCCTGTGTTGTCTAGGGGGGCTGTAATACTCACCTGATCCTCGGTCCCACCTGGCTGCTAGAGCAGTCCTCGCAGCCTCTTCTTCCCCCCAAGTTCCGGCAGTCTAAAGCTCATTGGCTGAGAACTCTGTTCATTCGAAGATTTGCCGACCGGCTCCTTTGATCAGCGGATCGAGTGGCACCCACCGTGATTTTCTTAACCGCTTGAAGACCAGGTGTTTAGATCCCCTTCCTGTCCCGGCCATTTTTCAGTGTTCAGCGCTGCGGTACTTTGACTGACATTTATTCTGTCACGCAGCGCCGTACTGAAATGAATTTTATACCATTTTTTGTGGACAGATAGAGCTTTCTTTTGGTGGTATTTTATCATCACTGGGGGTTTTATTTTTTACTATATTCAGGAGAAATTACTGAAAATTTTGAGAATTTTTTTTTTTTTTCTTACATTATGCTATAAAACAACCAATATTACCCACTTTTTTGGTAAAATATAAAAGACGGGGTCACGTCGGGTAAATAGACACCAAACATGTCAAGCGTAAAAATTGCGCGCACTCGCGAAATCGCAAAAAACTAGCATACCCAAAATTGGCCATAGGCGACGCTTTAAAAGCTTTTACCGCTCATCAGTTTAGTGTTATCAGTGATTGATGGCCCTAGAACCATTGCTCTCATTCCGACGTTCGCGGCGATATGTAACATGTGCGGCGTAATGGGCGCAATCGTCGTTTTCGCAGGTATGCGCACCTGACGCATGTTTACATGCGTGTATGTAGGGGTGGGGACTTTAAAAAAAAAATTTGTTTTTTTTAATTCTTTTTTGTGTAACTTTAAAAAAATTGGGGGGGAAACTTTAAATTTTTGTACTATTTTTTTTTTTTTCTCTTAACTTTATTGCTATCACAGAGGGGGCTGAGAAACCCCCTTATGTGATAGCAAAAGAGGTGACAGGTCCTCTTTATGGAGACATCAGGGGGTCTCCAAGACCCCTAATGTCACCTAGGACCCCCCTGAAGAAGCTGACGAAGCAGAGATCTGCTTCATCAGCTTCTCTCCAGCATCTGAAGCTGGAGAGTGACACAAGAATGCGGAAGTGATGTAATATACAACACTTCCGCATTCTGACAGCGGAGAGGGGACCGGAGGGAGCTCGTGTACCGAGCTCCCTCTGATCCCCTGTGACAGAGCCACTATGCTGGTCCCGGGCTCACACCGGAGCCCGGGACCAGCTTGACAGCGGGAGGGGGAGAGCCGCGGAGGGGGGGGCGCACGTCTCGGGGCTTCATACAAGCGATCCGCCGGCTCTATAGCCGGCGGATCGCTTGTATATTAACGGGCATCGCTGCCTCTTTTCAAATAGCGGGGATTTCCCGCTCGCTCGCGCGGATGTAACAGGACGTGTATACACGCCCAGTTACATCCAAGAAGCTCCCGGCAGGCCGTGTATACACAGCGGCTGGCCTGGAGGTAGTTAATATAATATGCAAATTTCGGCCGGTTCCTGGTCAGCTTGAGGACCACCGACCTCATCGTGGCTTATGGAGGTCCATTGACTTGCATTAGACGTGAGGGACATACCACAGCCGGAGCAGAGGGGAAGCGAGGTTAGCGCTGACCCACCAGCAGGACTGAGGATCAGGTGAATATAGTATCTGCTTTATTTGACCCCCTAGGCCAGGGGTGGGCAACAACGGCCCTCCAGCTGTATTTTAACTGCAAATCCCAGCAGGCCTCTGGGCCTGTAATTGTTAGTCTTGCAGTTCCTCATGGGACTTGTAGTTCCACAACAGTTGGAGATGCCCACTCTTGCGCTAAGACAAAATACACACTTAACCCTGTGCCTAATGTCGGTGTACTTCCTGTGCCTAATGTCGGTGTACTTCCTGTGCCTAATGTCGGTGCACTTCCTGTGCCTAATGTCGGTGCACTTCCTGTGTGTG